TTGTTTAGTTTACAAAACAACATTTACAGTATTTCACTAATTTTGAGGAAAAATCTACTGAAGATGAGGGAATACTTATTACAAACGAATCCGATATAATCAATTATTTGTAAAAAATTTTTTAATTAATTCTACGTTGACTGTATAAAAATATATAACATGTGTTTTTTCTTATAATTTTTAGTAAAGTAAAGTTATTTAATTATTTCAAAAAATATGAGATATATTTTTATTGCTCCGCAATAAAAGAGCACTTTATGAAATAGCTCTTCCAAATATCATATTTGTGATTGTACGTTGCTTTATTTTCTCTCATGTTAAATTTAATGTAACAATAGCAACAAAGCAAATTTGTGATATTTATAAAAATGTACTGAAGGTTAACATAAGAATCAATGTTGATCCAAAAATTTGATCTGGCATTTATGATTTGTCTGACAAGGAATAATCTCTTTAAGGGAGTATTCTTTTCTAGAACGTGCCTATTTTTAGAAATTATTTAAAGAAAATTGGGGTTATTCTTCTACGCTTTTACACATTTACTTGTACATATTTAGTAAATGTTTACAAATTTTTATATGGCTATAAATATTTATTAGTTTTTATGTTATGTAAATTTTAAAAAAGTAAAAAGTCATGTGTCGGTAGTTTACATGATTGCAGCCTTCCAATTTAACTGAAACAAAAAATTTAGAAGAATTTTTAGTCATTATGAGTATGATTATAGTCTAATCTAGGATAAACAAAAACAAATTGTTAATCAGCGCGATTTTAAAAGACAAATATTGATTTTTACAAAATTTTTATAGGACGTGTATAAAAAATAATTTATTTATACATATATTGCAATAATCCTAATTCATGCAACAAATAAGCATTTATTTTATATACGTAAAAATTAAAATCGAGGTTCAGTAGTTTCTGAGAAATTATGACAATCAACTTAAAAAATATGGTTTCGAGAAAAATGCATTTAAAGTTTAAAATACATTACAGTTGCAATTTTAAAATGGAAGTTCATTTCTAATCAATGATACCGGGACCATATAACAAATCCTCTTTTAATTCGAAATGCTCATATTTTTCACTTTTTTCCAGCTTGATAATAACTGCCTTTGAACATGAATTGATAGAACATTAAACACGAAAGTAAGCTAAAACTTAAAAATACTTGTATCTTCATTATTTTGACAAATATAAAATTTTTTAAAAGCTTTTTTGTATTTTAAATATTTTAAATATGTAAAAAAAGAAAAATCAATTTTTTTTAATTTTAAATTGGACTATCCCTTTAATGATAATGAGAATCGGCCTCAGGCCCACAGCAACAATCATGCAGAAAAAAATTTAAAAGTTAAAAAATAGGAAGTTCTACGCATCCTGTGTATTCGCCCAACATTGTTCCATCTAACTATTTGTTTAAACCTTTAGAGTATTTATCTGTCAGAAAAAAAATCAATTTGAAAGCTAATATTAGAAATCACTTTGAATAATTTTTTATGTTACAAGATTCCACAAGAAAAAGTAAAAGTTTGCAGAAAACATGGCAAATTGTCATGGCTGACGAAGGATTAACAAACTTTTATAGGTAATAAAAATACAATAAATATACGACTGCTCAAATAATAAGACGTTTTAAAACTGGCGTACAGAATACTAGTAAATCAGTTCATAGAAACAGGATAAGAAGAACGTTGACCGTTACTAGAAAAACAGGCAAACTGTTATTAGAATAAGTTTGAAGAAGGTCTTGAAGGATAAGGAATAATAGGAAACCATTTACTACCTATATAGCATGTAAAATTCTATAATGGATACTCAGGTATCCTGGGCATTGATGCAGCATGAAATTTTCGAATATTGATATAGAAGTTAAAATAGCTTAGTAAAAAATTGTTTTGCATAAAAAATATATTATTCGAAAAAATTAATTAAATAATGAATAATAATTCGTGAATATAAAAAAAGATTCCATTCTCCACATTAAAATGCGCATATTAATGATATGGACGAATAGATTTTATATTTTATTATAAAGGAAATGAAATTTATTATAGTAAGAAATTTAAAATTTGGGATTTTTCAATTGATTTAAAGGTATTTTGTAAAATTCTTGAAATCAATCTAGAAATCCTGAATACCAAAAATAACGACTTGCAAATTTATAAATTAACATAAATACGTAATTTATTTTGCATAATTTAAAAAACTTTAATGTTATTACTGGTGGAAAAATTTTACTGAAATTATTCCTCTTTTCAGCACAATTTCAGCATTTCAGTAAAATTTCAATTTAATTTCAGCGATTTTTAGCTAAAAAGTTCATTTTCAAAAAAATTTCAGTTTAATTTTAGTAATTTTTTAGTATGTTAGCTGAAAAATTCACTTTCAATGAAATTTTAGCAAATGTTCATTTAATTTCGCTGAAATGTGTTTCAAAACGTGGATTAATTTCAACGAAATTTTTTCACCAAGGATAAATTGAAAAATTAAGTCCCAGTTAGTACGCATGTACAAAGTCGGAATAATGTTTACTTCCATCGATGTAGTTTAATTTTAATCTTAATTGGTTCAACTAATTTTTCATCTCTTTTTAGTTCCAAGAATTAGAAAAAAATAAAAAGCAAGAACTGAGGTTAAAGTTAATCTATACATTGATAGAAATAAGCTTAAGACATCGTTTAGACAACTTTAAGACGGTTTTGAAATAAGAATGTACTATGAATACTCGATTTTAGATATGCGTGCTGTCTTGGTTGTGTATTCCAGACTGGAGTACTTCCTGAAAGTTTTATTTTCTTCTATCTTTCTCTAAATGACGTGATACATATCAGTATACATACATTGGATACTGATTCTGATAACCTGAAAACTGACGAAGTTTCTATTCTCCAAGGACTCATTTCCGCGACGCTTCTAAGTAGTACACGAGAAATCGGTCAGTGTCTAAGCTTCGCCGTAGGAGTCGTTAACGTTAACATAAGTAATACGCTTACTTTTAATATCATGTTAATAATCAATCTTCATAGACCATAAATCATACATTGCGAGGAAGATTTCTGCATTATGCATAATTGTTATAGTTAATTTATCCACTGTGAGTTTAAGTGTGTCGAGTTAAATATATCTAGGTCATACATACATTGAAATTTTAGCGAGTTGTATAAAATCGCACATTTTATACTATAATCCGAGAATTTCATAATCTTGTTTAAAAAAGGCAATAAATATATAATAATTATGTGTGTGTATATATATATATGTATATATATATATATATATATATATAAAAAAAATTTGATCGCATTTTTAAAAACGTACCAATAGATGGCCCACTCTGTAAAAACGTACCAATAGATGGCCCACCCTGTATATATATATATATTCTTAATTTCTATTAAACTAAGATAATTTTTTTTAAGATTTATGAAATCTACAAATTTTATGATACTAATAATTAAAAATTAATGCTAAAAAAAATATTTCAAACAAAATTTTGTAAAATTGGCTTACAAAAAAAATCAGCCGATATGTAATTGTAAATAAGTAATCAAGCAATAAATTTACACGAACAAATAATACTTATCTAATACTAAAAAGGAGATAACCTCTCAAAAGAAGATACACTCCATAAATTAAATAATTAAGCGATAACTACTTTTTCATTAACCTTTAAAAGATTTACGATATTTAATAAACTTAATTAAAAAATAAAGATCTATTATTTTTTTTACTTTTATCTACTTTCCTTTTCTATTCTTTCCAATAATTTAATTAAATTATTAATAGTTTCTAGTCCTTTTTTACTAACATGTCAAAATTAGAACTCTAAGAAAAACGTTTTCAATACTTGTGACGGTAAATGCATGATAAATAATTATAGTAGCTCTATTTTTATAGTTATTACTATTAATATTAATAATATTTATATATAGTTGTTATTATGAATATATTTAATTATATTTATATATATAAATAAATCTCCATAATTATTTATAATGCAACTATAGAAATCAAAAATTTTTCTCTTAATGTATGAAGTAACATTAAAATTCTTTCTTTTGTTGCATTTATTTCTACAGATCACTTCAATCTCGTTCAGTATTTTCCAATGCGTGCAATACGGCATTATCTGGTCGTGTTCTTGGGCTACATTCTTCGTCGCTTTCAGATGACAAATTATTCATATTTACTTACGTAATACTAGCTCAATCGTCGTCCTCGCCGTTTTCGTCCTCGACGTCGTCGTCGTCGTTGTTGGACGTTCCTTGAGTGCACGCACAACCGGGTTCATTAACTGACCAGTAAAATCTTTCTTTATATAACTCACAAGCTTAAGAAAGAGAGTGGAAAGAACGGCGAAAGAAATGCCGGACAGATTTCTCTATCTTACTATCAGATTTAACTTGTACGTCTTGGCTTTGCGCAAAACTCCGATGCCCTCGACTTTCCACGTCAGAATCGTCATAGAATTTCGTAACTTCCTACCCTTCTTGACATAGCGACCTTGACCGGAAGCTATCAAAAAGTCCAAACCCAATTAATCAAAATATTATTAATTTGTTCGAAGATAATCCGAAAATGTCCAAGCAAGTCATAATAGTTCTTTAAGTTCACTTTTTGCAGGCGATCACAAGATTCGTAACTCGTATCTTTTCGTTCTCATAAAAATAAGACGGTTCTGCAGTAGCTAGTATCAATCACAATAAAGATCGCAAATGCACTTGACGCGAAGATCACTCGTTGCGTCTTCGCGAATAAATCCTGACGGACAATCGCAAGTTCCCTTTTTAATTCGTCTCGTCAATATAGAGGAAAGAGAGAGAGAGAGAGAGAGAGAGAAGAAGAAGAAGAAGAAGAAGAAGAAGAAGAGAGAGAGGGAGAATAGCGAATTATCTGAACAAGGGAGAGAACAAGGATAGAAAAAGAAGGAAAACAAAGAAAAAAAGATGAGAAAAAGGTGAAGGAAAGAAAAAAAAACACAAGAGATCGAGGATGAAGGCAAGATACCCAACGTAACGTTTGGGTGTACGCGCGCGGTCCACGATCTGTCGAATAGCAAGCAAAGAGATAGTGCGATGTAGTGCCGCCGTTAGTAAAGACCACCAGGTGCCCACCAGATACCCACCGAGTGCCCATCGAGAGTCAGTGGTAGGGAAACGCGCCGGGGCTCGAATAGCGAGCGTGTGTGAATCGCCGTTGTCGGTCCATCGATTTCGCGAAGAAACGTCAATGCATTTAACGCGTTCTTGCACTCTCGTACCGAGATGGCAATTTATAACAGTTCCTACATCTAATTATAACAATTTTCCGCGCATTTATTCCAATAACATGAAGCGTAAATCAAATTTCTAAAATTACCCAATGTACGATTCGCTTCATATAACAAAATTAATTTTTATTGAAAGATAACCGTCTCATTATGGTAAATCTTCATTTCTATAATTATTTCTATAATCATCTTCGTTAGATTAGATAAACGAACATGGTTAACATTAAAGTGCGTACCAAATTTTTGACCAATGTATGGGTCATTAATTTATATATATTTTTATTATACAGGATTAATTATTAAACTAGAAAGTAACCATCTCGCTGAGTAAATATCATTCATTATACGTAATCTTATGCCAGGGATGGAAAGTTACTTTTACCGTTACTTTTTAAAACAATAATTTAGTAATGACATTGCAATTTTTTATGACGATAATTAATTAAGAATTAAGTGAGAATATCACTTTTAAAAAGGGACTTTTTATCATTACACATTATTTATTGAAAAAAGTAGTTCATTATTTGTGATGCGTCGCTTCGTTACATTTAAAAATCAACGCATCACAAGAAATGAGTTACTTTTTTCAATAAATAATGCTTAATGGTAACAAATCACTTTTCACAAAAGTGATATTCCCAATCTTAACTTTTAATTAATTATCGTTACTGTCATAAAAAATTGCAACGTCTTTACCAAATCATTGTTTTAAAAAGTAACGGCAAAAATAACGATAAAAACTAAAAATAACGTCCCATTCCTGTTTGATACTAGATTGGTGCTTCTTCACAAACTTCATTATATATAATTTAGATGCGACTTGTACATGTTCCTAGTGTACAATAAAATAAAAATTGATTGTCTCCTTTTTATAAATTTAACATTTTATTTTTATTTAATAAATATCTGTATCTCTCTAAATATTTCATGTGAAATAATTTCTACACTGTTAACCCCTTAGCTGTCAGGCGAAAATCAGCTTTTCGTGCCATTTTTGTCTTGGAAAAAAATTTTCATTGATTTATCCTATAATTTTAGTGTTATGGTTTTGGAGGTCGCTGAATCCGAATCTGAAATCGGATTTTCAAAAAACAAAAAACAAAAAAAAGAATAAAATCATAATGGAAATAAAAATAATAAAAAATTTAAAAACGCCAAAAGCACCAAAAAAATAAAAAAAATACAAAAAGTAAAAAAAAACGGAGTCAACAACCGCCACGTCCTCGATTCGTGACTCTGGGTTCGGCAGAGAGCGGGATATAAAAACAAAAAAAAATTCTTTTACATTTTTTACGATGGATAATTTGCCATGAATGGTTTGCTGAATTTTTATTCGTCATAATGTATCCGAGTTTCAGATACTTAGAGTCAGGACTCAAATTCTAAATTCACGATCACGAACATCTAGAGATACAAATTTTTGTAGAAATCAAACCATTTTTCGAACTTGCGTCCGCCATATTGGATCCGCCATTTTGAATTTTGAAAATCCGATTTCAAATTTGGATTCAGCGACCTCAAAAACCATGATTTAACAAATTACAGTCGAATCGATGAAGTATAAACATGTTTTTTTTCAAATGCGCACATATGCGTCATGAGACGAAAATGGCACGACTTTTTTCTGCGCATATGTGCGTCACTGACACTCAAGGGGTTAAGAACGCGTTTTTTGTGCTACAGATTTCTTTATAGGCTTCACCGTGCGTGCTGCTATACGCATACCCCACTGATCACTGCGTCGTCTATCTGCAGTGATAGATCATAGATCCCATGTTATTTCCTACTTGCGTGAGTATCTCGCTGCATGCAATATCTTCACAACGTAAATGAATCTCATATCATCCCTATTTCAGCTTCTCGTCCCTTACCACTCCATCCATACGATGAAATCAATCATTAATCAACTTTCCGTGTCGCAATACTGCTAGAGATGCGATCCATGATGCATTACAAGTGCGCAAGAAAACCGGAAATGAAACATGTTTTGTGAGCCTTGTAATTATAGTTTTCAAGGAGACTGAAACGACCGCTACGTGATTCTAGGATCAAGGGCCGCTGAACGAAAACCACAAGAATGCGGATGAAGTCAGACAAGCTATTCCAAAAAAATGTGATGTAATCGCTTCAAATATTACGTTAAGATAAATATAAAAATATATAAAAAATTATCTTCGCGTCGCGTTCAATGTCAAAGTGAGCAAAGAATATTAAGATAAGTATTTTATATAACATGGTGTTAAATGTGGCGTTAGAATATCTGAGAAATCATCCCGCAAGTAGGTGTACTACGAGAAGAGATTACACTTCTACAAACATAATAAATCGCGTTACGTGTAACAATAAGCAGAGTGACGAGTTAACAGTAAAACGTATTGTATATTCTAGAAAATGTATATTAAAATACATACTAAAAATAGAATAGAACATTTATCTCAGAGCGCGTAAATCGCTTTCCGAGCTTTCTAAAAACGCATCTATAAATCAATAATACCAGGGTAGTTGTGATTGCAATTGAAAAAGTATGAACGGGTGCAATTGTCACAATGGAACCAAAAGTTGATTACTTTATACAATCAAAACAAAGAAACTAATGAACGCATCCGTCTAAAATTTTATTAGTAGTCCTGTACAGAATCAAATTTGTCTAAAATTATAAGTAAATTGATTTGTGACGTAATTTTTGTATCAGGTCAAGAACTTTTCAAACTACCCTCGTACAATTCCTTATCAAAAAAATTCTTGCTAACTGAACACATTACTATATAAAGGACAAAAACAAATTTATTAAAATCACGACTAATGAGCAGATCATTAATACAGAAAGACAATTATCCTCGATCGTAACAATGAATTATACTACGTCATATCGCTTTAATGATAAATTAGCAATTCAAAATCTTAAAGCTATCATTTCAACAATTTCAAGGATCATCTTTTTTCAAGGGACGACTTCAAGGGACATTTTTTTTCTCGCAGGAGATCAACAAAAAGTTTCTGCTTGAAATTTAAATTAATCAAGGTGACGTTGCATATTTAAATAAATAATTGATATTATTAGAAATATATTATCGGAAATAATATAAACTATTTGATGCGTGGGAATATTATTATAAATATGATATATTGAAGAAGTTACGAATAAAACTTTTTGTTCTTTTACATTTTACACAAAAAGATTTTTAAAAAAAGGACTATTACAAATGATTTCTAAATGGTTCAATCAGACGTTAAATATCATATTAGATTTTATAAAAAAAGAGGTGAGCCTTGAATATATTTATCAATACTAGATTGATCAATCATTAATGCAAATACAGTTTAATAATAACTACAACAATAAATCCCAAGTAGCACACAGCGCTTACAAAGCATTAACAAAGCGCACATAATCACTTTTTTAACGCTTTACAAGCGTTGCTGTGCTACTTGGGATGTCTTGATTTTAATATTCCATTGGTTTAATCAAATTTTATTCAGTGGCTAAATTCTCGGAACTTTGCAGATTGATATAAATCTTCGAATTTACTGAACTGAATCAAAAATCGTTTTATAAGATTAAAGTAAACACTAAATTTAGTGATGCTGCAATAGACTTTATACTAAAATCGAAAAAAGAAGTTAAAAACATATTTTTTTTTAACTCATAGAGCTGTTACCTAATGTAGACGTTTCCTTAATACAAAAGTTTTATAGCTCGTATGGACCAAACGACAGTGCAGCACTGAGAGTATTACGTGCACAAACAATACTGTTTATATCATAAACGATACTGAGAGTTTATGAAACTAAGATTAAAATCTTAATTGATTATATACACTCACCGACTAAAAGATTGCAACAGATTTTTTTCTATGGTTTTCGGAATGCAGCCTATTCACCGCGAGTGATGGTTTTTACTTACGGATCCATAAGTAAGAACCAATCGCTTGGTAAGCAGACCGCATTTCGAAACCCATTAAAAAAAGAGTATTGCAACCTTTTAGTCGGTAAGTGTATTATACAGACGATGACAAATATGCCTTAACACCTGAAATTGTACGAGTATTGGGACATATTCAGAGCACGCTCCCCGTCTTTACACGGAGAGAATAAAAACAAATAAGATTTATTTATATATAAATAAGTTTTATTATTAATAGACTGTGTAACTTATTTGTTTTTATTTCTATTATTACTTTATCATATTACATTATAAGTATTACATTATACGTATTTTTGAAATTACGTATTTGAAATTTCACTGAAATATGTGTTTCAAAACTTACAACAATTTCGGCGAAATGTCACAAATTTCAGCAAAGTTTTTCCAGCAGGGTTTTTGTAATCTTCTGTAAGAATCTAATAATTAAAAAATTACTCAGGAAATAAATTTTATAATTTAAATAAATCATCAAATACTTGCATTAATACATTTACTACTGCTACAACATTTTCACATAAATGTTTAATGTTTTACATATAATGCATCATAGATGGCGTGGTTTAGAAATTTGACTGTCAAACCGATAAGCCATGCCAAAATCGCACGGATTTCAAGCGAATTTCGCACGGTGAAGTGGGATGCTTTATGCGTATGGCGCTCGTGCGGCTATCGTAAAAAGCTGGTACGACCATAGCGCGCATCTCATTCTTTTTTTTCATAGAGATTTCTCGTGCCATGATTGCATGACTTCATGCATAAACAGATTGAACGATAGCGCTATTAGCGCATTGAAATAGGTCATGCGATAGTATTAGGTGTACAACTTTGCTTCCGCCGTTTTCCTATAGATGGCTTTAGCGATAAGTGGTGGTCGAAATAAATAGATCATAGACGTCATACAATAAACTTGGGCATCTGTCAACATAACCCCATAGAAACATTAGTCGATTTGTGTCTGCATCATAAAATTATTCTCGATTTAAAATGTCAGTTTACGAGCCAAATTCTCGTTATTTGCGGGAGGTTTTAATTTTCTGCTTCAATATGAAGAAATCTGCGGCTGAGGCTCATCGAATGCTCTAAAATACTTATGGTGAGGCAGCTATTAGTGAAAGAACGTGTCGTGAGTGGTTTCAACGCTTCAAGAACGGTGATTTTGACGTCGAAGACCGGCATAGCAGTGGAAGAGAGAAGGGTTTCGAAGATGCAGAATTGGAAGCATTACTTGATCAAGACTCGTGTCAAAATCAAGAAGAATTGGCACGATCATTGGGAGTGACTCAACAAGCCATTTCAAAACGCCTCAAAGTCATGGGAATGATTCAGAAGCAAGGAAATTGGATGCCGTACGAGTTGAAGCCGAGAGATGTTGAACGGCATTTGTTTGCTTGTGTACAACTGCTTGAAAGGCAAAGACGGAAGGGATTTCTGCATCGCATTGTGACTGGGGACGAAAAATGGGTTCATTACGATAATCCCAAGCGCAGAAAATCATGGGGAGTTCCCGGCCATGTTTCCACGTTGACGGCCAAACCGAATATTCACGGCTCCAAGGTCATGCTCTGTATTTGGTTGGACCAAATACACTCGGTGTAATATATTATGAGCTGTTAAAACCGACTGAAACAATCATAGGCGATCGGTATCGAACGCAATTGATGCGTTTGAGCCGAGCATTGAAAGACAAACGGCCGCAATACAATGAGAGACACGATAAAGTGATTTTGCAGCATGACAATGCTCGACCCCATGTTGCGAAAGTGGTCAAGATATACTTGGAAACATTGAAATGGGAAGTCCTATCAAACCCGCCGTATTCTCCAGACGTTGCTCCCTCTGACTATCACTTGTTTCGATCAATGGCACACGCCCTAGCTGACCAGCTCTTCCGGTCTTATAAAGAAGTAAAAAATTGGATCGATTCGTGGATCGCCTCAAAAAATGACCAGTTTTTTCGACGCAGGATTTGTACGCTGCCCGAAAGATGGGAGAAAGTAGTGGCCAGCGATGAACAATACTTTGAATCATATGTATAACCAGTTTTTTACAGTAAAGCCTCGAATTTCGGAAAAAAACGGCGGAAACAAAGTTGTATACCTAATAGTTTGACTGTCCGTGCCAAAATCGTAACAGATTTCTTTCCGTGTAGATATTCATACATCATCTAGAGACGGAGAGCAAGCTCTAAATTTCAGGTGTTAAGGCATATCTGTTATCGTCTATATGTTCACGTCATTTGCAAATAAATGCAAATAAATTTGCAGATAAATATTTCTTTTGAAGCTTTTAATCTTAGTTTCATTAAGTATTGTTTGTGTACGTAATATGCTTAGTGCTGCACTGTCGTATACGAACTATAACATTTTTGTATTAAGGAAATATCTACATCAGATGACAGCTCCACGAATTGAAAAAATGTAAGTTTTTAACTTTTTTTTTATTTATTATGAAGTCTATTGCAGCACTACCAAAAAAATTTTGCGTTTACTTTAATCTTGTAAAAGAATTTTTGATTTCGCGTTTAGTAAATTTGGAGATTTATAGATAGAGAGCCTCACAGGAAGAGAGTGGCAAATTGCATCACGTGACCCTCTGATTGGACCTGGTAATCAAGCTCTGTAGAGCCATGGTGGGGGTATGCTGTTTAGATTAGATGACTGCAAAAGCAGTACGCTTGTCACCTTAAGCTGCAATTTCCTCCCCAATTTTACAATTGATAAGGTCTTTGTAAGTGGTACATATTATTAATCTTGGAAATATATACCTTCCTCTATTGTACATATATACATGAAATAAAACTACGAATTTTTACATTTCAAATATCTGAATAGGATTTGTGCGTATTATAAAATGCCTGCCAGATGCAGTGCTCCAAGATGCACAAACTCCAATAAAGAAGGATATCGCTGCGCAACATTTGCCCAAGATTCAAACTCGAGACAAAAATGGATTGATGCTGCCGGAATTCCTGATTGGAAACCTTCAAAATCAGCTTTACTGTGTGAGATTGGTACCGGAGCGTGCAAAAATACAAATATTTTATATATATAATGTAATTCCTGTAAACACCAGCAAAAATAACATCAATGTTATAATTTCTCACTCAATATCAATATATTAAATTCAATGTAATGCGAGTGTATGTAACGGTTACATAGTTGCGTAAAAAATTCTAACATTTTGATGTTACATTAATGATAGTTGGTGGGACAGATATTTTTCTCTAACGCGCGCGCGCGCGCGCGCGTGTGTGTGTGTGTGTATGTGTGT